CTCTATTCCCTGTGTCAGGCTTTCTTATGACACATACACTGTTGATGAACAAACACAAAAACGAGAGGATTCAAACAGGTTATTAAAGATAACCATTCCTTTATCTTCACAGCCCTCACTTGCAGAATTCCAGCAGATTTGTTTCTTTCACTTATGTGACACTGTCGGGAAAATCTGCTGAGAAAACACAAGTGCACGGGGCAAAAAAATACAGGCAGCATCCCTCTTAGATCTACGATACGGTAACAATTTTCCACTTTTCTCTGCCTTAGTGTCTCCTGTCTACACCCAAGAAACTGAAAACACGGAAAAAGGAAAGATATTTAATGACCTTATTCTCCTGTTACACCTCCAGTCAGTGCAGCACTTTTCTCCTTTTTAGGAATACGGAGAAAAAATACAAGGCTGAACTTCTGCAGTTGTAAAACGTGTGCAGCAAAGGCAAATCTGATGCTGGGACACCAACTCAGTGGTGGTGAAATCAGGAACGGTGAGGGCATACTACTGTAGTATGGGCTCTGTTATGTACAATCATGTCCAAATATTCCAGCGATTTATTTCAATTAAATGCTACAATATCTTTTACCAGACCTCTACTACCTTTGCTCATAGCCAGTCCTTAAATTTAGAAAACACCTATCTGATGCCCACAGAGCCCACCCTCAGAAAATTTTCTGATGACTATATTTGCATCAATAAAATGAAATTCATTTATACACTGGGTCCGATCATAAAGTCTGATCATGGTGCAGATGGTCCATGGTCCTCTAGTTGCAGAAATAGGAGCCTTGTACCAACCGAATAAAACACATCTTCCTGTTGACTCCCAAAACGCCGGGCTTGACCTATCATCCCTTAGAAATGTGAGTATTAGGATCACAATCAACATAAACAGATCCAGGAACAGGCTTTTGAGTTGGACCTCTCTTGAAGCAAGATTGACAAGAGGGCAAGAAAAGACACAGAGGGGAGAAAAAAAAAAAATCCATGCATCTATGTCTTCGCCTCCAGGCATCCTCAACTCTAAGCAGCATGTATTTAAGATCCTGTTCCTCCTAGATGGGAAACCAAACCATGCTAGGCACTCTGCAAAAACAACTGTATAGCAACAAGGATTGGAGGTGAGTAAGCCTTCAAGAGAGAACTTCAAGGTCCATCAGGGGGAAATCACAGGTAGTTAATCTTACATGTCCACCTAAGACTTCTTGGAGGATTAAATTTTATTAGGGGATGTATCTTGAGCAAGTTCATTTCAGCAAGCAAAGATTAGTTGGGTTTTAACACTCATATTGATTTTTGCAATGTATTTTTTGTAATGCATTTTTAAAGAAGTATTTGCATAGTCATGCAGACCATTTACACAGGTATATATTACGATTACAAAGCACAATGGCTCTTTCCTGATCGTAAGCTCTCCAATGGGGAACACTGGCTTTTATGTTTCTCAGCCTGCTACATATGAGGCATGACTATCAACAGCAGTTGTTTTTATTTTTCACTTTCTTTTCATTCTTCTTCAGTGCATCGTGGGCTGATTTTGAAAAGCAGCTGCTCTTTTCAAACGGCCAACAGTTGCAAACTCTTAATATGATAATAGAGGATGTATTGAAATAGTGGACTTATACATGACAATGCAGCATTTGCATAAGACGTTACGGGTGGGACTCAAGCGGATCACGTTGTTTCTTTACATTCACAGGGTTTCTTTTCACCAGTGGGGTATAACACAAAAAACTGTAACCAGGCCTCAGGGTTTTTTCCTCACTGTCCGTAACTAGTTCGCTGATTCCAGACAGCATGATTTACTGATTCATTGCTATGATAAAGTAAAATCTACTGACTCATTAGCCATCACTTTCCTTGGTCATCTGTTCCTATAGGAGCCATGGGAAGGAGGAAAGGAGGAACCTAGATGGTCATCTCATCCTTCCACCTGCCCAGCATCAACTCTACTCATGACTGACACTTGCTCCAACTCTTTCTGAAAAATCACATGATGGAGATTCTAGGTCTTTCGCTTAGTCTAATCCTGTCCACCAACGTTACAGTTCCTTCAAGCTTCAGCCTATCTACAAATTGCATATGCATCCTCTTAAGTCGTTTGCCCAACTCCTTAGTGGCAAGCTCAAAACCAGGACGTTTCTCTGTAAAGTCTCATTCGCTGCAGTCCTCCACTTTGAGGAGGAATCACCAATAGCCATAATCTGGGTATGGTTTCCCATCAGTTTCTAACCTAAACCACGTTTGCTCAGCTTTCTTTTGAGGCTACAGTGCAAAGCGTCTTACCAAAAGACATACAATCAATTTTTTGACCTGTGCTTTCCACAAGGCTTTTCACCTATCATGGAACTGGTTTGATATGATTTGCTCCTTACAACTGCCTGTCGGGTGTTTATTCCTCCCTGTAATCACTCACGTTTTGCCAATTCTTTGTCTGATCATGTGTTGAATGTTTTTTCTAGGAACTGAAGTTACTGTAAGCAGCCTGTATTTCCTAGTTCTTCCCCTTTCTCCTAGTTCTCATCCCGTGAAACTTCCACAAGGTCTCAGAGAAAAAGGCTACTGGCCTGCAACGGCTTCAGCCAGCTCTGTGAGAATCATCGGGTGGATTTCTTCTGTCTCACATGATTTACAGCACCTACGGAACTGCTCTCTCACGTGACGTAGTCTCTTTACATAATGTAGTCTGATTTCTCCCCCCTCAACACTGGATTGTATTAACTTTGTGATCACAGTTAATCCTTTTAGGGAAGGCTGAGGCATGCTGCCCTGCGGTATATGCCGCCATACTTTCCAATAGCCTTTGTGTTACAGCACATGGATAAATAAGAAGTGAAAGAAGAGCAGCAGAGTGAGCTGCTACCCAACTGGCAGAATATGTTCATCTTCTCTGTTGTTTTACATTATTGTTTCCTAGCTTTGACCTGATGTATTTCTTTCTTACCGATCAAGGAAAACTCTCTTTTTCTCTCTTTCCATATACCTATCTTCCTCCTTTATTTCTTTTGTTTGCTGTCTATTATTGGGAGTTACAGATCTTGCATGATCTAATGAGGTGAATGTTATAAAGTGAGAATGGGAAGCACTGTGCTCTCACTGAACTAATTTCTACCCTGGTCAAAGGGGTTTATTTGCAGCTGAAAGTCCTGGCAGTCTAGAAATAAATGCCTCATAAAGAATTACTTAATTTAGTTAATAACGTTTGAATCCAGTCATTCTTCATTTTCCATAAAACTAGAATAGGCTAGAAGTAATTCAATTATTTTTTACAAGTACTAATGAATAAAGTAAATGTGTAATTTCCAATAAATTACATAGTTACTTACGGTGTGAAAAACTGTGCACTCAAAACAAGTAAAAAATGTGTCACTTTTATTTTTATAGTATGTCCTTCAGAAGAGATATTAAAGTACTGTTTACTTTATCCCATGGTGCTCTATAGAAAATTGTAGATTAATTTTCCCCTCAGAGAAGCCATATAGTATTTCAACCCCGAAAGAAAAGAAGTGCCTTAAAGAGAATCATTTAGGTACCTTGTATAAATTCTTCAGCAATAAGAAGTAGGTATTCATGCACTTCACACACAGCCCATATCTGTTGAGGAAACATATTTGTGCCCTGTTAAAAGAAAGATTTGGGTTTTTTCTCTCTATGGGTCTTTTGGCTCCTCTTTTAACTGGAATATAAGCTTAGGCATAACCCTGCCCTCTCAAATGGTGTTTTTATGTTCTGAAGCGTGTGGCTAGATCTTCTTTTCTCTGGGCAATGGACAGGACAGAAGGGCAACGGAAGGAAAAAAAGGGGGAATAAAATACCGCTGATATCATGCCCTTTCCTTTCTCTCCTGTTTGCCTTCCAAAGCTCAGGAGAATCTCAGTGTGTTCATGGAAATGACAAAAGAATTGATTTTATATTTTCAAATATAAAAAGAGGCAACTTGGAAGACTGCAGTATTTACAAAAATGTGACTTTTTGTAGGATAGGATCCCTCCTGGCATACCTCCACGCAAGCACCTTCTATGAGCAATGCATCCGCCGACTAGTGTTGGTGCGCTGAGGGTATAGAAGAAAATACCCACACTCAGAAAACAGGTACCTCTGTAACTATAAATGAAGCAAATCTACCTTAGCTTTGCTGTGACCTCCATGAACCAGGGCATGAACTGCTTTGATTCATCACAAAACTGGTGCTTGCATCTAGAAAAATTAAGTGTGAGATCATTTACGTAAAAGCTGTAGTCACAGTCATAATCTTTAGGGAGCCAGATCCTGACCATGAGTTGCCGATATGTGCGCTAAGGACTAAAAAGCAAGTCACGCTTCCAGGATACTTTACAAACAGAGCGATATTGGCAGGCTGTAAATTGTCCATGCTTTGTGCATGCTGCCTAGCTAAATAACCCTGAAGGAAAGTGTGATAACAGCATAACTCATCAGACACATTCCATCAGGCCTCTGTGCAGATGTAAGTCTTCAGAGCAAAATAAACTAGCTATGCTAGTTTTGGAGACTAGGCACTCTCACTTAGTTTTGAAATGAGCTAGCACCTGCCATAATACTGTCTCTTCCTCTATGGTAGGCAGAGAGAGGCAGAAGACAGGGAGAAGACGGACAGGCAGGCCAAGGCGGAAAAACCTAAAACCAGCACTTTCATTGATGCCACCGGTGTCAACCTCGGAGAATGACGGACAGTGCCACACATTCAGATATAAACAGAGAAACGGGGCTTTGTGTGACACTTCCCCACCGAGTTCTGTATGCTTCTGGGTTGTGGATGTCAAACTGTTCTCCAGAATTTTTTTAGGTGCAACGTCCCTTTGGTAGCAGCATTTGCACTTCTGGTAGGCAAAAGTTAGAATGTGACCCTTGTTTCAGCTCCACTGACCAACGACCCATCACCTTCTTCCAAGTAAGCCTCATTACTGCATTCTGTGCTTTAAAGCAAGATTATCCAAATAGAGAACTGCTAGTAAAACATTAAATAAATGCTGACTTCTTACCATGGACCTCCAGTGCTCCATCATCCTTTCAGCATTCCAAAGACCAATAATCACAAAGAACACGGTGAACCAGCTTTTATAAAGGAGGCAGGAAAGCAGAACTGAAAAATGACAAAAAGTTTAGGTCAAATTATTTTTTTCAATCAGCTGTGAAAAACAGAATCACCCAACTAAAAAACATATGGTCAGTATTTGCACTTGTGTACTAGGAGTCCACGTAATAGTGTTCCTTATTAGAGATACGCGGAGTACCTCCTCTTCTGCTATACGCTAACTGCCCGTGCTGATTTCTAAAACAGCGACCAGTGTAGGCTAAGTACTGGAAGATATAAAACCATTTACACAGATGAGCAATACTGTGTGTGGTAATAGACTTGCAAATTTATCTTACAGATGTCGTTTTCAGACATGAAGACATGGTAACGGTGCTCTAACTAGCTCTAATTAATTAGGGTCCTAAAAAGCTATAACAAATTACCATCAACATATTTGAAAGCATTTTAGAAAGATATTTCTGAACTGTTCAGTTAACGCAGAGAAGTGGTGATAATTCTATCACTCATATTCATTCTCAGATTTGTTACTACAGCATGCAAGAAGAAATTATTTTTATTCTTACAAGTATCAGCGCTTCGCAATAAATAGCCCAGGACACGAGTGTTGCTTTTTATTTGACTGCGAGGAGAAAGAAGGAGCTCCACAACTATTTTAAATGTACTTCTGCAAAAAGAAAGCCAAGCCCCAAAATTAAGAGAGTTTTAGGTATCTTGCATATGCAGCAAAATATTGCAAAAAATACTTTGAAATGAATTCACACGTGCCACAGGCAGAACAAGAATTCTGAACTAGCCACTAAAATACGGTGAGCAATTCCCAGCAATTCTCCTCCACCAGTACAGCTCCCAGACACCCTGGCTAACAAGTCATGTAACTTCTTGTCTCATTATCTCTGAACCTACGGGTTTTGCCTTTGTGACTGCTCTGTGACCCAGCTTCAACAACAAAATGGAGACTCGATCTTTTCCAGCCAGCCTCATAGAGTATGCCGATTATGCTTCAGCTTTACGTGATACAAGAGCTATGAGTTCGAACCCACCCAGGCTGAGAGAGACACTTTTGGTCCAAGAGCTCCCAACACTACGCTGAAGCTCAGCTGAGACACTTACGAAAGCCGCAGTTGACATAAAAGTTCATATAAGAGAGACAGAGGCACCTAATTCAACACACTGAAATCTACTCCTGAAAGAGCCTCGTTTAAGTTCTAGGTGTTCTAGTGCAAAGCCGTCTTTTCTGTATTTTTTTTCCCCCGAGATCTGCACCCATCCAAAATCTCTAGTTCCCAAGGACTGTTTTCTCAGTTCCTCACAGTATGCTCACAGAGCACAGTATTTTTAGTATGTTATTATTTTTGTTTACTTAAAATTACAAACACACATAGGAGGCTTTCATATTAAGTTTTTGTTCAGATTTAAATCTTGAAAGGAGACGACATGGCCAATGAATGGAATAGTTTTAAAGAGTAGTCTGACCTCTCAAAACGCAGCTAAGCTCAACTTATAAGGGCTTGTGAAATCTGACAAGTCTGAATTGGGAAAGAGAGCTAAATAAACCCAAATTATGTCTTTTACCTTTTTCACAGAACTCACTATTCCTTTTGGAACAGGACCATTTTCTCATAGAAATTGGTTCTTTATATTCCTGAGTTACTGCTTTTTAACTTGGCCAGTAGATTTTTTTGCACGTGAATAGTTTTGAAAGGAGGCTTTTTTTTCCCTTTACTAAGGAGTTGAAAGAGTCCGCAAATATTTTGACTAAAAAGGCATAATGGGTAATGCCAGGCAAACGAACATGACGACCGTTTCAACTTGCTTCTTTCACCAAAACAAGATGCAGGAACTTCATTCACTCCAGCAGGCCAAAGTCTGGCCTACAGGTGTGCTGTATGGAAATGAGGCACGCGAGCAGTTCTTATTCTCCCTTCCACATGTCTGTTGTACCCATATCTGCCTTGGATTTCACCTCCTGCCCTCCCGCTATGGGCTCGAAGCACCTTCGCACACGGAAAAGCTACATTTGCTGCTCTTGTGCCGTTTCAGGGAAGCCAGTACTGCTCAGAGCATTAGCTATGCCAAAGTAGGAAGAAAGATGGCTCCTAATGCTTCACCTGAAACAAGAACAGTAGCTCAGTTGCATTTCTGCCTTGCAATGTGCCCCTCTGCATCAATTTGGTGATGCCGATTGACTGTTAAAATATACCATGGGTCAGGTATGCACATGTAGTAAGAGCCAAACATTGCCTTTTCCTCTCCTGGACTTACCCAGGAGGCCAGCATGTTATTGGCACATTTTTATTGGCCTATGCGGTGTAGAAAGGTTGTGCTTTTGCAAGCAGTTGTGCACTCACAAGGTGGTAGGGGGAAGGTACGTCCTTGCTTCCCCCTGCCCTGAAGACTTTTCTTCACCAGGTTATGCCCTTGCTTAACATGTTCCACAGAGTTTGTATTTTCTATGCTTTTAACAGAGGGTCTGTGTCTCTGAAGATTTTTGTCTGTTGCAGAACGATGTCCCTTCCAGAGCTCTTCATCTCATGAATGTCCCCCCCATGAATAATTTCTCTTCCTGGAGTCAGCCATTTCCGCCAAAGGCTGATTCATGGTGAGAAAGTCTTCCACAAGTTCCGCTCTTCAGTGATTGAGGTCCCATGTTTATGGAAAGAAAAAAAATCTTTTGAGAGTCTCAGGGCACCGATATCTCGCATCTTTGCAAATTGCCATGGGGTAGAGCGTTCTGGTGTTATCTGTTAATACCAGAAGGTGCAGTCTTACAGATTTTTACGTTAAGATGCAAAACAGTGGCACCTGGCGACTCCGATTCCTTGAAGAGAAACAGCATTTTTGTATCGAGTCTGTTTCATTCCTATATTCATCGAGTCACTTTGCTGAGCAAGAACAGATCAGTTAATTTTTTGGCCCAGCTTGCTGCTCAGCCATATTAATTGGAATTTTCCATGAAGGATTTATAGGGCACAGTTAAAATGAAATATACTTGCTAACACCTCTGCAGAGGAGTTTATATTAGAAGAAAAAAAAAAAAAAAAAAAAGATGAGGACTAACTGGGTTCCCTTTAGAAAATAAATGTACATGTATACATTGCACATTGCAAACCAGACAGCATACATTGTTCAGGGTCTGAATTAGACAGAGGGGAAAAAAAATAAGGCGAAGATCAAGAACTTAAATCTAAAAAGCTTCCAGTTGTTTTTTCCCTTTTCCAGAAAAATAATAATGCAAAATATTTTTCCTTCTTGTTTTTTTTTTCCCCACAAACCAGCTACCTCTCACAGCCACCAGCTGGTAAAGTTTCTCTCTAAATAAAGCACTGACGGTATGAAAAAACAGTTGCAAAAAAACAAATGACAGTCAGTTCTGACTGTCAATCTACACATTTAATGAGAAACTCTGCTCAATTTAATGAATCCTAGTGCTTCAGTCTAGCATCGCTTCAAGTAGAACTTGCATACACAACTATGCAGTGTCAATTTAGGGCCTACATTACGGCAGTACAATACACCTCTGAAGGGAGCACTTCATTTTCTGAACTATTAACCATATAAGCAATTGTTACTAATTTACTGTGAGAAATGGGTGTGAAAATGTATGTGCACATGATTGACTCGGCTAGACAGCTTGAAAATGTTTAATCAGGACTGAATAATTCTGTGTCTACAGTAGCAGCTAGACTACAAACAACCAAAAGACAAAAAAATACTATTATTTCACTGGTATGTCAGGGGTGAAAGAAAAATCAAAGTCTAATTGGTCTGTAGTTGAAGATAAACTAGCTTCACTGTGAACTGACCAGTTGAAATTTGGGGGGATTCATTTTCTTGGCACTTGACCTTTGATTATGGAGTCTGATAAAACCCGAGAAGTAGAACCCTTGCTCACAGTGGGGTGGGGATTAAAAAAGAAAATAATCTGTTAAAGCTACCATTTGACATCAGAACTAAGTTGCTTATTACAAGCCCTAGGTCAAGACTGTTCACTCACGTAAGGATGTGGATTTCAAGTTACCTCCAACAGACGCCTGCGTTCCTGCATATGCTCATCAGACAACAAACATTAACACAAACAGCATACTTACAATTCTGCGTGGAGCTACCGACTTAACAACAGCTACTCTGAACGCTAACTTTGATGATCCAATTCACATTCAAAATGGGCCACCATAAACAAGGCCAAACCTCTTCCCTGTCACCCCACGTTCGCTCACATAAACCCGTCTCTAGGCTTTTGTGGTGAACTCTAGCCCAGCACCCCTCTGCGTGCGTGCGCCTGAGAACCGGCTCGAGTAAACACAAGCTGAAGAATCTGGGTTGTGTCACGTAGCAAAAACAATGAGTGGAACAAATGAGCCAGGCAGCTCGGAGAGCTGGAAATCTCTAATTACCAGACCCAGGCACAGACAAACACTGACGGAGGGATGGACTATTTGCACCTAGTGTCGCTCAACAAAGGTGACAATAAATTTATGAAGGGTCAAAGAACTTTCCATATGTAACACTTCCAGTGGGAATGATGAGCCTCTTTCACCCTGCCAAAGCTGCTAGGCCTTGGACAATGCTGCCACCTGCTGATGGTATTACAGGCCTCCGAGATTTACGGCACGGCTATGGTTTGCTTTTCCAGTCTTACCATTTCTGAAGATAGCTTAAGCTGTTCTCGTTTTCATCAGCTGAAAGAAATTTTGAGTTACTCATTGGGATTATAACACTTAATGTCTCAGATCTACTTGGGCCATTGTGACTTTTTCTGCTCTGCTGAGAATCCTGCATGCAACTGCAAGATCACTCGTGGGAAAACCAAACATAACCATCAGAGAGCTACTACTTGCCCTTGTTAAATATACCCTCCTCTTTTAAATAGAGCTTTCCTTCCTAATGTTTACAGAGTTGCAGACTACGGTATACCCCTTTTCAATGTGCCCCTTACTGCTTTCGTTACCGCGCTGATGAAAATGGACTTCTTACAGAAGCACCTCTCCTACAGACATACAAAAAACTCCACATCAAGCTCTCTTAATCAAAACGCTTCTAATTGC